CCCGAAACATCAGCCTTTCTGCTCCTATGATGCTGCTTGGCCTGCTGTGTTCATCCAGCTCTGCACCTTGTTGTCTCGGATTCTCCAGCATCTGCAGTTCCTACTATCTCTGATAAAATGAATACTATTTGCACTAATTTTCCTTGAATGGCTTTGTTCCCTCAATCAATACCATTCTTTTTAAAGAATAAAACAATATTTTCTCCTATCAGTGGACTTAGGATATGTTCTTCACAAATACTCTTTGCATTGGCGACAAGTGATTCTTCATAATTTAAAATCATAACAGTGATTGCAGAATGTTTTTAAACAGGGTTTTTGGAAAATGGTGTAAACTACTGATATTTTTTGATTATATTACAGGCTTTGCTTGTAACAGTAAATGGAAACCCTGTAGACTATCATAATATGCATTCTGCATTTCAAGCTGAGAATGGTCCAACCACACTAGAGATGTACTCCACACCACAATATAAATGGGAGATGGTTGACGAATCCCCAGGTGAGTTAAATATGAGTGTTGTTGAGTTCCTATTAACCTTTTCAAAATGATCCAGCTCAGAAAGATGAACCCCAATTCAATCAAAATTGAAATTAAACCAGTACTTTCAAGTGACATCAACATTATAAAATAAAATGAAATATTGAGGTTGTTGATTTGCTCACTGAGCTGGTAGGTTGGTTTGTAGACATTTCATCACTGTACTAGGTAACATAATCAGTGCGCCTCTGATGAAGCGTTGTTGGTCTATCCCACTTGTTATTTATGTAATCCAATCCAATGTCTTCTCAAAAACTTTAAAAGAAATATTCTTAATACACTCAGGAGAGCTGTTCACGTAATGCAACAATTTGCTTCAAACAGATTTCCCGATCTAGGTCTAACACTATTGGAGGAGCCCTCTGAGGTCTGTTAAATGCCCTGACTTGTGTACCACTGGCCATGTACAGAGCTGGTGTGGGACTCCAACCTTCTATATTACCAATTTTTGCAATATGCAACCTGTTCATAATATAAAATGATGTCAGTTCATAATTTGAAAGATTTATTACAATTACTCCAGGAATTTGTTTATGAATGATATTATTCTGGCCAAATTTTATGATCATCGAATCATAAAATGGATACAGTACAAAAGGAAACCATTTGGCTAGACATTTCGTCACTATACTAGGTAACAGCGATTTCTGTATCTAAGAGCAGGTTAGTGCCATGATTTGGACAGATACTGATAATGTTTAAAAGTAATTTCAATGTTCAGCTGAAAGAGTGACACAGAAAGAGTTCACATTTTCAAACTTTCACTATGATAAATGTCTGAAGTCACTAATGATCAAACATTATTTTAATTTGCAGGCATCTTATCCTACAGAAAGAAAAACTCCACTTTATACTTATCATACATCATACTGTCCACGGAATTACAGTCCTCATAGCAGTCCAAATAAAGCTCACAGTTGCTCCCAGCTGCTGTCCCTCTGCTTCACTGAGTAATAACTTCAAGTGATTGTTTTCAACTGCTTTCCTCAGTTTTAGAAGAGCTTATAAAATTTATGACCAGCAATAAATGATGATTCTTATTGTCCATACCCATGCAGAGGAATCTCCAAGAACATGTTAATTGGCCAATAATGAGTTTCAATTGGACTACAGGCCAGCAGTCACTAAATGTCAACTCCACCACTGGCAGAATTGCAGCAGTGAGTGCATAATGCTGCAAATAGCTTCATGAGTATGATGTCAAATTTTACTACAGTCGACCACCTGCCACCCTGAAACTGGGAGAGGAAGGAATCCTCCAGCCTAAGATCCACTTGACTCAGCACATTGCCTAAAAACAGATCTAAAAATTGCTCCTTCCTTTCTGCTTTGGAAACACATTGATCAAGAAAAATCTCCTGAACAATCTTCAAAACACTTACTCTTCTCCTTTTACACCAAATCACTATGTCACTTTATGTTGGGATAATTATAGTGTCCTGTTATCCCTACTGTGTAGTTTTTTTTTCACCTCTTTGTAATTTCCTAATTAATTTGCTTCGTTTTGGGTAGATTTTCCATTCTTTGATCTGAGTGGGGTTCCAGGCCTAGAATGGGAGGTTGCCTCAAAACGAATGTAAATAGGAGAGAATCATGTGTCTATCAGCACTAAAGTGGTCACCCAGTGGTCTTTCTGCTGGTTCACTTTCTGGACTGTGACACACCTGACACTGCCAGCCAATCAGAGGCTAGCAGTCAATCTGAGCTACAGCCATAAATTCATGAGGTACCTACTTTTTGGAGTTATTGGAGGTAGGAAAGAGGTGTAGCAGGTGGATTGGAAACAGTGGTAGGTGGGTACCTTTCAGCAGCCAACCCCAGCTCCCATCTTTGCAAACTGGGGACAACTCAGACTATTCCACCTTGTAATGCTACAGGCAGGACACTCTCTCATAGGAACTTCTTTCCTCAACTTTCCCATTGGGAACAGCACTAATTGCAGTGGTGGTGTGAAGAGGCTCTTTATTGACAACTGAAGAAAATCAGTTGGTGGTGGGGTAGGAAGGCCTTCTGCCCAGAGCTTAATTGCCATGATCGAAGTGTCCAGAATGTGGATTCATCAAATATAAAGGGCGGGGTTATTAGAGTGATGTAATTCATAACTTAAATAAAATGTGGTAGAAATGCAGGCTATGTGAAGCGTTTGCAGCTGCAGCACATGGGAGCTGTTGGATATCAAGGTGAACACGTATATAGCAAATGTTTGAAACTCAAGCAATTTTAGATTCACATCGAGGAGCTAGAGTTGAAATAAATACGTTGTGCTGTATATGACAGGTGCAAATTTAACTAGACGGTTTTCCCCAGATAATGGATATAACCGTAGGTTACGCAATTCAAATTTGGTCTGTGATCAAAGACAGGAGATTGTGAGTGTAGGTGAGGGAGGAGAGGCGGTCCTTGGGGAACTCTTGCCCCTAAAAACTGTGGGGATTGCAGGGAGGATGAGCAAATTAACCATGGAACCATAGTACATAAGATATGTACATAAGATAAGCCCATCAGGTCTACTCTGCATTCAACCATGGCTGATATGTTTTGCAACTCCATTCTCCTTGCCTTCTCCCTGTAAGTCTTGATCCCCTTACTAATTAAGAACTTACCTTTCTCTGTCTTATATACACTCAGTGACTTGGCCTCCATAATCTTCTGTGGCAATGAGTCCCACAGATTCACCACCCTGTAGAACTGAGGAGGAATTTCTCCAGTCAAAGGGTTGCCCCTTCACTCTGAGGCTGTGCATTTGGGTCCTTCTCTTTCCGACTAGTGGAAACATCTTTTCCAAATCCACTCTATCCAGGCTTCTAAGTATTCTGTTAGTTTAAATGAGACCCAGCCCCCATCCTTCTAATCTCCATTGAGCACAGACCCAGAGTCCTCAATTGCTCCACATATGACAAGACCTTTACTCCCAGGATCATTATAAACCTTCTCTGGACCTCCTCCACGGCCAGCACATTCTTCCTTAAATTGGAGCCCAAAACTGTTCACAACATTCCAAATGTGATCAGAGTGTTATGCAACCTCGGCTTTATGTCCCTGCTCTTGTAATCTAGCCCTCTTGAAATGAACGCTAACATTGCGTTTGTCTTCATAGTACTGGTAGGAGAATGTATAATTAGTGGGATGGCTATTGTTCTCTGCAGTTGTGCATGTGAATCACAGAAGCTGTGATGTCTGCCTGGTGCCGGCAACAAGAATTTCACATCAGGGCTAAAATGAACGAGGAGTGGAAGAGGAGGAATCCAGTTGTTGTCATGCATGTTGGTACTCATAATATTGGTAGGAGTAGAAAAGAGGATCTGCTGAAAGATTGTGAACAGCTCAGAGTGAAACTAAAAATGAAATTCTCCAATTTAATAATCTCAGGTTTGCAAACTGAGCCGAAGGCAAATTGTTTCAGGGTACATAAAGCCAAGGAGTTAAATCAATGGCTTAAAGATTGGCGTAGGAGAAATAGATTTCAATTCATGAGCATTGGCACCAGGCTTGTGGTAGAAGTAGACTGTTCCAATTCGATGGGCTTCACTTGAACTGTGTTGGGGCCAGTTGCCAGGTGAGTTGGATAACAGAGCTGTAGAGAGGGTACTAATTAGGTAGGGTGGAAGGCTCAGGAGGAGGGATAAATAGGCTAGCAAAGGATTTGGCAGCATTGCAGTGGTGACATTTTTGATAATGTTACTGAGTCTGGGACAGGAATAGACAGAGTGTACAAGCGCAAGAAAACAGCAGCAGATAGAGTTAAAGGGGAAAAATGGTGAAAAGATAAAATTCATGACTCTTTGCTTAAATGAGTGTAGCATTCAGACCAAGATAACGGAATTAATAGCAAAATACAAGTTAATGAGTATGAGCTTTTAGCCATTACGGAGAAGTTGGAAAGTTGAGAATAAAATATTCAGGGTATATAACTTTTCAAAAGGAGAAGCAAGAAGGGAAGGGTGAGATAGTTTTGTTAGTTAGCTAGGATAACTATGATAGCAAGCAAAGATCTTGGATTGGATGATATAGTTTCCATATGTGTGGAGTTAAAAAATAGCAAAGGGAAGAAGACGCTGATTGGAGTCTATAGGTCCCTGAACAATAGTGTTATGAAGTGGAGATTGACACCTCTCTGATGGGGCATATCTGGCCCTATAATCTGTTAAAAGAGCCCTCAATCTGTTCTCAAGAGTTGTTAAATAAAAATAAACCCTGACACACTCTTTATAATCAACAAGTAACAATTTATTTATCTAACTCTAACAGTGAACAAATTAACTAAACTATTAATAAACCAAATAAATCCCTTCTAACTACTAACTATTCCCAAATAAAACAAGATTCTAATGGTATGCTGTTCCAATAAATATAAGTCCCACTTATATCAACCAAAATAAAAAAAAATTAGAATTTAGTTTCTTGAAATTACAGCCAGGTTGCATCTTTCAGAATGTTCTGTCTTCTCCAACGAATCCTTCTGTCAGGAACGCCTTCTCCATTGAATTCTTTTGTCAGGAACGTTAACTGTTTGTGTCATAGGTACCTTTAATTTAGATGGAGCTTACTCGAATGTTTGAAGAATTCCCTGAGAGCTAGTGATTCTTTCTTTTAGAGCTGAGAGCTGTTGTCTTGGCAGATGATAGTTCATTCTCCCCCAATTTTCCAAATGCTCTCATCTTTTATACCCTTGATGACGTGTCAATTTCTTAGAATTGGATTGATCCTATGTTATCAAAACCATCATGTTTAAATTAAATTTTTTTTGTTATCTAAGGGCCTGGTTTAAATTATAAACCAAAACAACTGCGGATGCTATAAATCAGGAACAAAAGAAGAAGTTGCTGGAAAAGCTCAGCAGGTCTGGCAGCATCTGTGAAGAAAAAATTCAGAGTTAATGTTTTGGGTCCCGACCCTTCCTCAGAACTGTGCAAACCCACAGACATTTTTTAAATCTCTTAAGCATAGAAAAAGGACATATT